TGACATACCATTAACTATGGGATCAAGGCTGTCCTAACCAATGTGGAGGTCAAGGACAATGGCACTGTGAGAGCTGCAAAAGTCTGTGAGCATCTCTAGAGTACCCATTCCTCTGCGACCCTGGGCAGAAATTCATCAGAGGTGGTCTTTAATGTCCGTTACATTGTAGTTTTTAAAGTGTGTACTTTGCCTACCATCTCTGTGGTGATTGAAGTGATGCTATACTCTGTAGTACTATTAAAAAAATTCAAGGAGTTAAGCTAACAATATTACTTTCAGTCCAAGTGATGGAGGGAAATCTATGTAAGCAGTCTGCAAAGAATGGGTACTCCATTAAATTTCACTGTGTTGTCATGAAAGCTCTACAGAAACCTCTGCTCAGAAAGGGCTGGCTGGATCTTCTTCAGCAATACTGTCTACAACTCCAAATGCAGCCATCATTTTGCTAAGATGGGTGCTGCCAGATCTGATAAGAACAATGGAGAAGGAAGAAGAAATGTTACAGCTACTAGGATTCACTGTAGTCACCGCTGTCTATACTAGGTAAGGCAAAGGAAATTCCAAATTTTTTAATGCAAAAAAAAAGAAAGAAAGAAAGAAAGAAAAAGAATATATATATTAAAGGGAAGATTAGACTCTGAGCTCTGATAAATTCTTCTAGAATTCTGTATCAGTGTTGGGCACATCAGCTCATTGCTAACCTCTGTATTGAGTGTTTCATGGCAAAGAGTGTTTCAGGCTGGGCCAGGAGCAGTGAGAACTGCAGTGGCCTCCAGCTTTATCTGGAAGAGTAGCAGTCACACAGGAATGGGCCTCAGCCCCTTTTCTCAAGAAGGTACACTTATCTCTAAGCTGTCTGGAAGCTCTGGGTTAACTCCTAAGTGACACAGGGACTTCTTGACTTGTTACACCCTTCCAGCTAGCATTACCTAAAAGGGAGTTCTCACTTTCTATTCTCTTTATTGAACAACATTTCTGTTTATAGTCACATTTTCGTTATGGCTCATGCTGCATGCTGTCTGACACTTGCACTGAATATGGGTTTTGCACACGTGCCAAATAGTTTGTTGCTTGGCAAGTGTTCATTGGCAAGAGAATTTGCTTCTACGCATAGCAGTAGGCAAGTTTGGCTAATAGGCTCTTTGTCTGAAAGACTTCTGCATATTCAGAGCTGCTCATTTGTCACGCTAGCCTGACCTAGGCAACAAATACTAAAAAAGAGTCATAAATATGCCCTATTCTTTCCAGAATGCCAGCTGAAGTAAGCATTAGCTGTTTTGTGATGAACTTGTCATCTGTTCCTCTTTAGCTCCACAAGCATTGTCCAATAATGCTTATTTCTAGAATAGTCTTCCTAACCATCACTGAATTTTTGCTTTTGGAAGTGCCTCATTCTGTTCTCTGTGTTCTTGTGGAGTACATCTAATATTAAAGCAGACAGCTCTGATGCAGCTTTGGGATGGTGGAGTTCATACCCCAGTATTTGTGAAGCTGACAGCCCAAGGTCTGTCCTGGTTTTACAGTTAATGGAAGGGAATGTTTCCTGTTTGGTGGGCAGTGTCTGTACCACCAGATCCTTCTGTTGCAAGTGCTCCATGCATGGGGTGGCAGGCACCTGGCATGTCCTGCCAGTGTGTTACCAGTTCCACCAGTAGCTTGTACTCACTGATCTATAAAGCCAAGAACCTCTTTGGGCATTTGGAGATGGCAAATGTCCTTCATGTTGAGACTGCCTGGTTATTGGTATGACTTCATGTATTTTTTGCAACTAGCTTTTTATATGTAAGTTACAGAATTTCTTGTCCTGCAACTGCTTTCTTATTTTCAATATTTAATAATAGTTATCCAGAGGTTGAGAGTCACTTTTTATTTTGAAGTACTTATATATATTACTTAATTCTGCCTAGAGCTAGAGTGTATAACAAGCCAATTAATTGGCAGAATAGAAATCAATAGCATACATATGAAAGACTTTTCCTTTTTTAATTAGGCTATATGGACTACTTTATAAACAGAAGTAGTCAAGCAGCATGCTGCAGAAACAGACAAAAGCCTATTCTGAATGGATTAGGTCAGAGATCAAACTTTTCTATTGTTTGCTGTGAATCCCCTAAAAATAGAAAGCCCAAAGCTAACAGTGCAGCACAGTTGATGGTCTCCCAAGTAACAAAATCAGCAAAAGTGAATGTTACAGCACCATCTAGTGCTTCTTGTTCCAGCAATACAGTAAATTATTGTTCTGCTTCATTCGGGTATGTAGGTGGAGAAGAGGGAATGCATTGGATGCTTCTACATCCTGACAACTTATTTTCTCTCAGCTTGTGCTGAGATAGGAGGGAGCTGAGGGATGGAAATGAGCTTTGCCATTTTACATGGCCAGAGATTTTGCTGTGAGTTCCTCCTGTTTATCCTCTTAACATACAGTTAGTTTTTCCTCCCAAGAACAGTTGAGATGAGGACACAGGAGTCCACATGCTGAAAAAAGGGAGACAAGCACCGCAATTAATTAGCAAAGTGACCAAAGTGAGTATTTTGTGGGAGCAGAGAGAGATTTTTGGTGGAGCGTATGTTCTCTCTTGTGTGTGAATGACTGACAAGTAGGAGGTTGGCATTTGTCTGCAAACACCTTTTGCTGAGAACTCCACTCGTATTGAATGCATTTACCTCAGGTCACCAGCACCCAAGCCTTTGCTTTCTTCATCCTGAATATGACCCTCAACAATATCAAATGAAATTCCAATTTTTGCTATAATTATTATAATGTCCCTTACATTGCTGTTCTTTTT